AGAGTAGATGGGCTCATGTGCATGGCAGTCTGTGTACAGGACCCAGGGTGTCAGACAGAGGCTTGTTGGCACATACTCCTGCATCCCGTGTAGGCCTAGGCCGAGGGGACATCCAAGTGCTATCCTGGCACTTGTCCTACGGTCACTGAACACTGTGAGATCATAGAATCATGTAGTTGACACCTACACTCCTTCCTTCACCCCTCCCTGGGGTTCTGTGGACTCAAGTTCAGGTTCTGTACATCCTCTTATCCTGTCCCAGGAGAACAGAGGCCCTGCAGCTCACCCCAATCACTATGGGATCTTTCTCCCATCTCCTTCCCCTCACGCCAACAGGGAACATATGTTGGCTGAGGAGAGCTGTGGGAGGAGAGAACAGTAGGGTGAGAACTTTTTAGAAAGCAGGAGCCTTCTAAAAGCCAAGGGTGCTTTTCTTACAGATGTGGTGCCACGCTGCACCTTTGCCTTGCAGCAAAGGTTGAGCTCGCAGCCTGAAGCATCTCACAGGGTCAGAGCAGGGCTTGGGCCTCTGAACAGACACTGTGAGCTCACACAGGGGTGTGGCAGCTGCATGCACTGAAGGAGATATGGCTGCTGGAGCCCCTTGGGGACCCCACATCAGCCCTCATAAAGCACCCATACGTCATTGGCTCTCTGCTCAGAGGCCTCTGCTAGAGTTGAAGCTCAGAGCTGGGTGAGGGCCATGGTTGCGGCCTCTTTCCCAAGCCAGGCAGCTTGGAGAGCTGGGCCTGGGATGCTGGGTGCCTCCCAAGGACAGGCTGGACGTCAGGGCCTGGAGCAGCTGCAGGAGGGGGAGAAGCTGGAGTTTCTTAAGAGCAAGGGGGCTTAGACCACAGCCAACTCTCCCTCTTCTGGAAAAAAATGCTCTGCTGGCTGATAGTTCTACAGCCTCTGTCCCTGAAGCCTGCAGCAGGGCCTGAAGTTTCCAGCAGATGAGAGCAGGTGGCTCTGGAGCTCTGGCTGGCAAAATGAGTTGGAGTGGGTTGTCCAGGGAAAGAGCAGATTCCTCAAAGCACAGACCTGGATTCCTTACAGTGTATTGTCCAGCTGGAGCACTTTTGACAGTGCAGTGGAGCTGCACAGAGGCTGGACAACAGGCGTAAGCTGGGTCTCTTTGGGGCAAACAGAGATGTACGTTATCCTATTTATGACCACTTCCTAGCTCTGTGGGTTTGAGCAAGTTACATAACCTCTTTGAATTCTAGTTTCTTCATAAAAAAGGGGCTAGTATCATGTACCTGCCTCCTAGGGCTGTTGGAGGGACTAAAGGCGGGCATTACATTATGTGAAAGTTCCCGAACATCCCTTGGCAGTGTGTTCTGTATGTTTACTCTCCTCTGTGAGGCAGCGAGTTCTGTGTCCCTGGAGGGCCTAGGGAAGGTGCATGCAGCTGGAAAGGGGGTGGCAAGGGTGGGAGAGTGAGGCCTCTTTATCAAGAGCCCTGTACCCATGCTCCTCAGGCCTTTCCACACTCAGGGGAGGGTGGGGCAGTGATGGGTCCTGGGCTGGACCACCCTGGTGGCCATGGAGTTGCGCCTCTTCACCTCCCCATGGTGACTGGTGCCCACGGAGGAACCCACTAGGGCTTAGCCCACTCTGTTTCTGCATCTTTGGGCATCAGAGACCCTGGACTTTAGTTAGGAAGTCTGTGCTTTCCCTTCTGGGGATTGCCTGTGTGGGTGCAGCTGCACCCTGGGATGTCTGGGAAGGCCGGGGTGTGGGAGGGAGCTGGAAGGGAAGGCTAGGGTGGAGGAGGAGCTGGAAGGATGCTGCTTTTTTTTTTTTTTTTTTTTTTAATTTTCATAGTGATTTGGGCAAAAGTTTATAGAGCAAATTCATTTTGCATATAGCAGCTCATACACTTTGTCTCATGACACTGACCACTGACCGTAATATCCCACAATGCAACAGCTCCTCCCCATAGTTACCTCTTCCCTGTGTCCTTCCCTCCCATGCACTCCTGACCCCTGAGCTATCTCCCTGTGTATACACAGCCCTTCTATTCTCCCATGATTGTTCTCTCCAAGGAGTGTATCTACCTAATGTAAATGTTCAGCTCATATGTCTGTCTTTGGTTTGGCTGGAAGCCACAGGAGTGGGTTCAATTCCAGACCTGAAGGGCAGCTAGGGGCCATAGTCTCAGGAATTCCACCAGGATCTATCAGATCAGCAAACCTGGTGTCCCCCTCTCTCTATATATATTTTTTTAAATGATTTTGAGTTTGGTTCCACATTGTTCTCCCACTCTATCCAGGATCTTGTACATAGGTTCCCTCTCTGAGTGGGTAACAGTGGTAGCCAGGCACCATCTAGTTCTTCTGGTCTCATGATCATATAGGCTGAGGATCACATGGTGTACCCATCACTTGGACTAATTGTTTCCATGTGTTTTTGGTTTTCTTCATTCTTCTTTGCGCTGCGTGAGAGACCCACTGTTGCATCTAGATGGCTGCTTACAAGCTTTTAAGATCCCAGTTGCTACTTGCTGAAGTAGAATGTGGAACAATGTTTTTCTGTCGTATGCCAATTGAGCTTGATGTCCCCTGAATGCTGCTTGTTTTGATGTGCCTGCTCCCAGGGCCTGAAGTTTGCTCTCCAACTCCTCCCACCCCCACCAGAGCTGGTTGTGGGGCCTGAGACTTGGGGTTTTTTGACCTTGAGCAAATCAAACCTCTGTGAGTCTCAGGCTCCTGCTGGGTAGTGGGGATAAGGGGGTCAGCCTTATCTCAGGGCTGTGGGTAGTGCTGCCACTGCTCACTTCTGCTCATTGGCAACCCCCACCCCCTGGCCCCTACTGCCTTTATCTTCCCCCAGTGTCCTGGGTGGCAGAGGTTCAAACTCCTGAGAGGCTGAGCTATATCACCAGTGCCTGGTGCAAACGAGGGGTGCAGTAAACAGGCAGATGAAGTCAGAGCTGAGGAAGTGGCCCCAGTTCTGTGGCATCAGCTTTCTTTGAGTCTGCCCCCACCCCAAGGCCAAAGCAGCAGCTTCCGGGGGACATGGTGGTGGGATCACCTGAGGTTCCCCACTGATGTTCTTGTCCATCAGTTGCTCACCAAGGTCATGTTATCCCAGGAGTCTCACTAATGGCTTTGTCTTTTCTGTTTTTTTTCACCAGAGAAAGGTTCTTTGGACCAACTGAAGTCAGGGCTTGGCAGAAGATGGTTTCTCTGAAAATGTGTTATCTTCCCAAGCCATTCCTGGAGATATTAGCTCTGGAAGGCATCCTGAGGTAACAGTACTCAGCCCTCAGCAGACTCTGGACAGGCCTCTCCATTAAACCTGGGGCCAAATACCTTAGGTGGCAGCTCAGGAGGCAGGAAGCAGTTGTACACTTGAGGGTGGCTCCTCAGGGTGGATGCAGGATCCACCTCAGTGCCAAGTCACCTGGCAGAGATCAAGGCTTCCAGACAACCCCGCCCTCAACGTCACTGACCCAGATAGGGCCTTCCTAGCTCCTACCTTCCTGAGTGAGGTCAAGGAAAGAAGAGGGACACCAAATAGGACACCAAGGTTACTTATAGGTAAGTAATGGGATTTCTCCAAAAATAAGCTCTGGAGCTCTGGCAAGAGATGCCAAAATCCTACCATAAGACTATTCTGCCAAACAGACTATTCATGAGTGGTCCAGCTCTGGTGGCACAGTGCCTAAGGCACTTGACTGCTAACCAGAAGGGTGGTGGTTCAAACCCACCAGCCACTCCTTGGAAGGAAGGTTGGGCAATCTACTTCCATAATGACACCGCCTCAGAAACCCAAGGAGGGGTTGCTATCAGTCGGGTCCCACTCGACAACACATAACAAGAATATGAACCACCAGCCTTCTGGTTAGCAGTCAATGCCTTAGGCACTACGCCACCAGAGCTCCCAATACTAAAGGACACCAACATTTAAGATATCCTCACTAAAAGAGTATGAATGTTTAACTGCTCAAAAAATGGTGTCTCATTTTAATATGTATTTTTAACTAGGGAAATGGAGCATCTTTCACATATTTGTGGGCCACTTGTATTTTTTCTTCTGAGAACAGTGTATTCACATCTTTTGTCTATTTTTCTACTGGATGGTCTTTTTCTTAATTATTTTTGTGTATTATGGATATTAATCTTTCATCATATATTTTCCCTATCATGTCTTTTAACTTTGCTTATGTTGTCTTATACAAAAAGTCTCGCAGTTTGTGGCTAATTGCCTCTATGAACAACAGCCTCCTTGTCATGAGACCAGAACTGGTGGTGTCTGGTTACCGCTACTGAATGTTGTGATCAGATTCTGCAGAAGATCCTGATCAAGAGGCAGAAAATGCAGAACAGAATTTCAAATTCTCATGGACTCCAGACTTTCTGGAGCCATGGAGGCTACATGAACCTCTGAAACTACTGCCCTGAGATAATCTTTAAATCTTAAACCAAAAATATCCTCTGACATCTTCTAAAATCCAAACAGAAGTCTAGCTTATAGAATGTCTGCCTGGAGCATCAGGCTTTTCTTTTCTTCAAGATCTATATGTGATCAAAATGACAACAACAACAACTCGAAAGATTAGATAGGAACCTTCGTGTAGGGGGCAGTGAATTTGTTAATGAGGGAGGAACAACTCAGGAGAGTGAGGATGGTTGTACAACTTGAAGAATACAATCAAGGTCACTGAACTATACACACAGAAGTGCTTGAATCTGTGTACGTCTGCTGTGTATATTCTCAACAACAAAAATTAAAAAAAAAAATAAGTCTTGCAGTTTCAGTGTTGCATGTGTAAGCCTTTTCCTTTGGCTTCTGGGTTTTTTCATGTGCTTAGAATTTCTCTCACTGGGATGATTCAGCTGCTGTTCAGACATTCTGAGAAACAACAGCCACAAACACTTGCTGCAGCAGCAAATCATGCTTATTTAGAAGAAAAGTGTTTCTTTTAAAAATGAGAACTATCACCCCCAAGTATTTATTTAAATATTAACAGAGAGTGGGTAAAAAATTACAAATGGTATAATAAGACTAACAGTTTTATATTCACAGATGGTCAGATGCTGACAAACATGAAACCAGATCTACGTACATTATGATTTGGTTGTTATGAAAATGCATATGAAGGCTTAAGAAACGGTCTATTTTTAGGCTTTGGGGGAGCCATAATCCCCAGCTTCCTACTGGCTACTGAAGTTGCTTGAAAACCAAATGCAGCTGAACTGGGTCCAAATGTGTCTGAGGATTTAGTTTTAGAAGATGTCTTTCTGCACATGGTGGACCCCCTGAAATGTGACAAAGAAAAAAAAAAGTTAGAATGTTAAATAAACACAAAAGTGAATGGCCTTCTTTTCCTTCACCCACATGAAGCTACAGTCCAGGATTCCATGATTTTACTTGGTCTTCTGCGTCTGTCTTTGTGCCTTTTCAGCTTTCATCCCCCTGGGGAAGGTAAGCTGCCTTCACTATAGAAGGACTGAAGGTCCGCTGCCTGCACATAAATGCCTTCCACACTTGATTCTCAATTCTGAGACTAGTGACCAATCCCATGTGCCCTTCTCCACCCACACTTTTCATCGCCTATAGCCAACCAGATCCCCCGCCTACAGATGACAGAACAGAGGTCCACATACCCCAACCTATTCCAACCAAATGAAGGAAGTGAAACACCTAGTCTCAAGGCCCCACATCCCTGGACAACAGACAGTGCAAAATTACTGCATTTGCAGTGTGTTAAAAGGTGGTTTTGTGGGTAAGTGGAAGTGGGATGGAGTGGGGGAGGGGAGCCTGTCAGCCTGGCTGCCCTGCTGCCTGGAAGGGTGGGTGGAGTTGATCCTCCTCTTTGCCAGCCTAGGGAAAGGCTCTAGATATGGTCCCCGGGGAGGGCCCATGAGGTGCTCTTGGCTCCATCTGCTGCTGGCCTGTCAGTGCCACAGTGCCAGCAGCTTGATCTTGCCTGCTCTCTGAGCTCACCAGCGCTCACCTCCACCTCGCTGCCTTTCATGCCCAGGGAATAAGCCCCTGCCAAAGCCCATCACCAAGTTCCTCCAGCACCTCACCTCTCCTGCTGACCTGAAGATAACAGGTGTCCCCGCCCCTCTAAAAAAACCCAAAACCTCTCCAGACCCACATGTGCACCATGATAAGGGCAGCAGTATCTATTGAGGCCTTTCTCTACCTATGTTTCCTGGTGCTGCGCAATCGGGCGGGATTCATGTGCAACGTGAATTCCCGCGCATGAGACATGCACGTGATGATGCGTCTCTAAATCCCGGGGTCAGACTATCAGGGCCACCAGGCCGTGGGTATGACAATCCAGTGGGGCTGGGTGAAGAGTGGTTTTTCAACATTCTTAAACTCTTGCTGGAGGGCAATCTTACTTCAGAACATGGGCAGAGATGTGCTAAGGCTAAGGCGGCACAGAGGCAGCCTTAAATACCCTTACGGTGGGTTCCTGCTGAGAAATTAAGCCCTGGGCAAAAGCCTGCTGTTGATGTTGATTTACAGAACGAATCTGCCAACAGAAGCTCCTTCCTACAGGCCATCCTTATGACTCCCACCCTGCGAGGCCAGGACACACTGGCTCATTGTGTGTGATTTGGGTAATGGAAGAGGGTGGGACGGAAAGCTGAGGTCTCTGGCCTGGTGCCACCTTCATCCTCTCACTGCACAGGGATGCTCCGCCAGGTGAGCATGTCCCAGGTGTGGGAACTGTCTTTCCGACTGGTTCAGTGGAAACAAGGACGGCAGCTCAGGCACAAAGACAGTTAATTGGCTTCTATTTTTTCCTTCTTAAAGAGGCTGCTCCAAGGGTAAAAAAAAAATAATAATAAAAAAATAGTTATAAAAAAAAAAAAGTTACAAAACTTACTGATTTTAGCCAGCAGGGATTTGAAAGGAATCCCATTTTGAACACACAGGCTAATTAAAAACCAGCATCAGCCCTGTAATGGCTTTTGGACAAGCTCGAGTTTTTGGCTTATTCAATTCAAGGTAACGGGGCAAAGTGCTCCACTTTTATAAATATGGTTTGCTTTGTTCTAACAATTAAGTAAAAATGAGATGTAGGATCGTGCCCTTCCTCAAGGAATATCCATGGGCAACAAGCAAAAATGGAAGTGCTCTGCGAGGCGTGGTGAGCATTCAGCCCTACGGTCTGGCCAGGCGTGGGGAGCTCGGCCAAGCCCTCCCCAGGCAAAGCCTCAGCTTCCCCATCATAGACCTGCGGATGTTGGACCAGATGCCTTTTAAGGTCTCCTTCTGCTTGGTGTGAGGTACTGAGGAAGTGAGTACTTCCCAAAGTGGAGGAATAAATGAAGAAAATGTCCCCACAGAAGAACATCTGCTGGTCACTTGCGCACTTAAAAAACCCACAAAATTAAACTAACATTTACTAATGCCTTCAATTTCTGTACCCTGGCAGAAGGATTAGCACATACAAGATGTTTGGTTTACAGATTTCACAAGAAAATGACAATTTGGTAACATTTGCCTTTCTTTTCCTTCCCCCCACCCAATTTTTGTTTTTTATTACCCAGAAGGAAAAGAAGTAGAAAAACTGCAAAAGAAACACAACAGCTTGCAAAGCTCACTGAGGACTTGTTTTCTATTTTTTTTTTTTTTTGGCAAGTATTTCTGTGTGCAGTATTTTGTGGTCACATTCTCCAGATGTACAGGATGGCCATGATCCCATCAGACTTTACCTATGAGGCAGAAAGCTGAGGGTACCCTTGCAGAAGACAGGAAACAGGGGCCATCAGAAACAATGCAATTATGAAGAAATAAGGAACACTGCCAAGACCATTACACAGTATTCGGCAATGGTTTCTTGCTCTTCTTTTGGTGGTCAGAGAGCAGCCATGTCCCAGCTCAGAGGAGCAGGGAAGATCTGAGCCATTTGGGCAGTCCCAACGGGTGCCTAGCTTGACTGACCTTCTGGTTTTTCTGCTTTGGCCTCTTCTCTGATTCTCCTGCACAGGGTGAGAGGTTAACTCTCCTAGGCATTAATGAGTGGCAGGGAGTATGGACATGCCTCCAAGGTGGAGGTGCACAGAGTTTTGCAGCAATAAAAGCAATGTAGCAAGCATTGACAGAATCATAAAAGCGATGAGGAAACAAAGCTGCCCTTTGTCAGTTATTTGGATAGAGGATGATTTATAGTCTTTTGGGTGGAAAAATCTCTTAAGCGCAACTATCAAAAAACAAAAAACCTGCTAAGCTAAAGTCAGAACTGGGGAAGTTTTTGCAAATGAGAAAACTTTAGTCATCATCTACTTAGGATATTTTAAAAACCTGAAACAAATGGTCAAGTTTTGGAGCAAACCTTTATTATTACTCTACTAACTGGAGAGGCAATCATTTAATAATGGCGTATTTTAATTAATGCTTCCAAGCAAACCAGAATGGTTATAATTTTGTATTCATCTCCCTTCCACCCCACATTTGCAAAAGACATCACAGAACGTACCCCCTTGCACTGGAACCACCATAGCCACTTTTTCTCCTTTTAGACTTTTGGAAGGCTGGCATCCTTTTCCTCTTTCTTTCATTTTTGGGTTTATTTGAAAAATAGTGGGAAGATACGGGTGTCTCCTCATACAGCTCCTCAGGGGCGTTTCTTCCAGAACCTCTGCTGCTGGACAGGCTTCTTTGCGGGGAACTATCCTCAGCTACAAAGACAACAACACAGGTTTTACAGGTAACCCTCTGCTGGTTCCTGGTGCTCAGAGTCTGCATGGAGACAGCACTAGCGGGTACCACTTCATCTGCCACCTAGCTGCTTGCCTGGATCTCTGCATGACATGGATTCAACAATTCAGCAAGAACAGAACATTTATTGTAATATTTTTATTTCACAAAGCCCCGAAGTGCTCACCAGCAATTTATTTTTAATGAAAGGGAATCAGAATTCATTTTAAGAATTTGTGATACTCTTTAATTAGAGACATCAGGTTGAGATCACACTGTTGTGTATGACCTGAGTCCCTGTTATTGATTGAGCAATTAATCCTGTTAAGCTCTCTGAAAAGTATAAAGTAGAATATAAATGCTAGGTAATTTTAAAACAAATCATTTCAAACGTGCTGAAAAAATGAACTCAATGTAAGAGAAACCTAACTATGGTCTGCACCTCAACCTTGAACAATAGTTATTTAGTAAACAAGCATCAGAAAATTCCAGATCATATTTTTTTCTATATTAAAAATACTTCTTTGCATAATAGTTGTGAACATTTCACATATTACGCAGGAAACAAGTCCTTATGAAAATATGAATTTGCAAAGAAGATGGTCATTTCCAAAGGTAATTGCATCCCAAGGCACCTAAGAAGCATGAAATCTCCCACTGGTCACACAGGGATCCCCTCTCTATTTTCTGAAGATATTTCCTGGCTGGCCTGGTTCACCCTATTGTCTGGTAGGGCATCAATTCCTCATCCAGACTTTATCTGTCCATCGCTGGTCTCCACAGGGAGGCCATGCAGCTTGGGGGTGGGGAGTTCTGCCAGCCTAGTTGTGGGAGTTTGCGAAAAATGAGAAGGCCTCACTCTTCTCCCCTGTGACATGGGTGTTGCTAAGGATTAAATGATAGAAAAGAGACAAAGCGCTTGGTGCAGTGCCTGCACCCAGAGTCCTCCATAATCAGGAGCAGTTATCACCCTGTGGGGCTGTTTCTGCAGAGCAGCCTTGTCTGATGTGGGCAAAACCCCCTCCAAACAAGTGACTACACTGAACCAGTGATAAGTTCCTACCACGAGATCATTTCCCTTTCTAAATGTATTCACAGCAAGGCTTTTAATGGAATAATTACCCCAGAGAAGCATTAATGAAACCTGACTTTTTACATTTTCTTTGTGGCTAAAACACGATTGTGGAGAGACAAGGTGAAATATATGCTCACTTACCTCTCACTCTGCTTATAGCTGCTCTGAGCCTTACCCTGGGCCATTACAGAAAGAAGAAAAATCTTGAACTTGGCTTTTCTGTTGTGTCTTAGTGCACGGCAATATGTTAGAAGAGGGCATACAACTTCTACACTCTTACTATCTCCTACAACAAAATATTCCTTTGTTCTCCATTTTCCCTTAGTCAATGCTTTGTCTAGCTCAGGATTAAGCTTGTAATTAGAGGCATGACACAACAGATCTCAGTGTAACCTTGGGGACTGGTTGTTAATGATGCATTCAGAGGGACAGAGTCTTTCAATGACTAATGACAGTAAGACTGGCTAGCATGCCTGTGACATTTCAATTCAGTTTTTCATAACATTTTAAACTCTACTCTTTAAATTTTATCTTTAGACATGCTTGTAAGAGAATGTGTTCCTTCCTCAGATAAGGAAATCAAAGCACAAAGAGACGCTTTTGGCCTGCCAAGGATCACAGAGTGAGATGGCAGCTGATCTGGGACTGGCATTCATGGCCCACGAGTCTTTAGGCATGTGCCTTAACAGAACTGACAATTCCTGGTCCAAAGGTTCCCTTTTGGGTTCTAGGAGCAGGTTCGGCAACTGGCACCCTGGGGGCCTTAACACAGAGTGCCTTCTCAAATGCACCTGGTCTCCATCGGGGCTGCTCCAAGCACTTGAGCTTCTGTGTGCCAAAGTGTAGGAAGCATTAACCCAACCCAGAAACCACAGACTTCTAATCTAGTGAGATGTACCACTTAACAAATAAGACAAGCTTTTAGAAAACACACATCTGACTGTATACCGAACCTGGCAATGTCCACTTGGAGTATTTCTGTAATATTGGAATCACTTCTGCACCATATTTTTCCAGTTTGTCTTCAGTCACACCATCAATTTGAAGCAAAACCTCAGGATCAGAAGATAAAGATTCTGTGCATGGGGATAAAATTAGGAATTTAAATTACCACCCATAGAAAACCCACTGAATTCATGCTCATTTACTCATTCAGCAAATGTTTTGTTAAATGCCAGCTAACTGCAAAGCACCAGGCACAAGGACCAATTCTCTAAATGGCCAAGTTGGCGTCATTAGAGGGAGTAGACAGGCACAGTGATTCTACGAGCAATGGTGTAGAAACCAGGGCAGAAAGTGGGAGAAAGCAAAGGACATGCAGGTGGGCAGGACCTGTGCATGGCCTCAGGAGTTTAAGCAGAGTTTTCTCTTGCTATTTTCTATTTGCAATATAAAGACTTGTCTGGCTGTTGAAAAGGCCCATATTTTTATTTCCAGTTCTGACCTCTCCCCTGCACTCCAGACCTGTATATCCTACTCACTAAGGTAGTACTGTGGTGGCTTTTATGTTACTGTGATGCTGGAACCTATGCTACTGGTATTTCAAATACCAGCAGGGTCACTCATGGTGGACAGGTTCCAGTGGAGCTTCCAGACTAAGAAAGACTAGGAAGAAGGATGTGCCCAGGTTCACTTCTGAAAAACTTTATACTGAAAACCTTATGAATAATGAAACATTATCTGATATAGTGCTAGAAGATGAGCCCCTTAGGTTGGAAGGCACTCAAAATATGACTGGTAAAGAACTGCCTCCTCAAAGTAGAGTTAATCTTAATAACAACATGGATGGAGTAAAGCATTTGAGACCTTCATTTGCTGATGTCACATAACTCAAAAGGAGAAGAAACAGCTGCAAACATCCATTAATAAAAAGAACATGGAATGTATGAAGCATGAATCTAGGACAATCAGAAGTTGTCAACAATGAAATGGAATGCACAAAGATCAATATTCTAGGTTAGGAATCAAATTTACTACATCTATGTAAAGAGATGATGGACAAGCTCAATATCATCTGTCAGAACAAGGTCAGGGGCTGACTGTGCAACAGACCATCCAATTGCTCATATGTAAGCTGAAGTTGAAGAAAATTAAAACAAGTCCACGAGAGCCAAAATATGACTTTGAGTGTACATCCCTCCTGAAGAACAGATTTGATACATTTAATACCAATGGCTGAAGACCAGATGAGTTATGGGAAGACATCAAGAACATCATACATGAAGAAAGCAAAAGGTCATTAAAAAGACAGGAAAGGAAGAAAAGACCAAAATGGTTATCAGAGGAGAATCTGAAACTTACTCTTGAATGGAGAGTAGCTAAAGCAAATGGAAGAAATGATGAAATAAAAGAGCTGGACAGATGATTTTAAAGGGCGGCTGAAAAAGATAAACTAAAGTATTACAATGAAATGAGCAAAGACCTGGAGTTAGAAAACCAAAAGAGAAGAGCATGCTCAGCATTTCTCAAGCTGAAAGAACCGAAGAAAAAATTCTAGCCTCCAATTCTAATACTGAAGGATTCTAAGGTCAAATATATTGAACGATGCAAGAACCATCACAAGAAGATGGAAAGAACACCCAGAGTTACTGTAACAAAAAGAATTGGTTGACATTCATACATTTCAGGAGGCAGCATATGATCAAGAACCAACGGTACTAAAGGAAGAAGTCCAAGCTGCATTGAAGGAACTGGTAAGAAACAAGGCTCTAGTGATTGACAGAATAGTCATTGAGATGTTTCTACAAATGATGCAGTACTGGAGGCACTTACTTGTTTATGCCAAGAAATCTGGAAGACAGCTATCTAGAATCTGGAAAAGATTCATTATTTGTGTCCATTCCAAAGAAAGATGATCCAACCGAATGCAGAAATTATTGAAGGATCAATTGATGCAGAAAAGCCATTTGATAAAATCCAACACCCATTTCTGATCAAAACTCTCAGCAAAATAGAAATAGAAGGGACATTCCTCAACATAATAAAAGGCATTTATGCAAAACCAACAGCCAATATTACCCTCAATGGAGAGAGACTGAAACCATTCCTCT